GGTGACATGTGGGACAAAAATAATTTTTCTATTTTTATTCTCATTTAAACTGTCTCATTTTACTTTCTGTACTGATAATAAATATTTAACCAGATATCCATATTTACTCATATATTATATCAAAACTTACCTGGAATCAATAATAATGACATCAATATACCGTTTTATCAGGAAATATCAACGGGTATTTTGCAAGTGTGTACCTTTAGGTAATGGACAGAGTTTGAATAAAGCGACTGATATATTATATTTACTGTAGACAACTTATACGGCTTTAGCAATAAAAAATTACATCATTTCATTTTTAGTTATTTTTAAAAAATGTAATTCTCATATACAAGGTGAGTCTTAAATAAATGTGCAAATATTTTCAGGGATGGTAGATCTCGATAAAAGAAATATATTTTCTCTTTACTGTTTTACAAATAAGTCTAAAATAACAGTTATTTTTTTATTTTATTCTGAAAATAAAAAATGATCTTTTGCTTAAATTTTGAGAACCACTGGATCTTACCTGTTTTTTTTTGTAAGTTTAATCTACTACCTATGTTTCTATATTATCAAGAAATTATGTTTTTCAACTAAAAACTAAGAAAACAATCTAATTTTTTTTGAAAAAATTTCAAATGCAAAAAAAAACTCAGGGGTATTTCTGATATCGACATATACTACCTCTAAAATATTTGCACTTATTTAAGACTCCCCCTGTATATTTTTATATTTAAGTATATTTTTTTGATTACCGCGACCACATTAATATTTCAATGGCAAATATATTTATCCTTATTGATTTGTTTTCAACGTTTTTTGGATTTCTATTGTGGGGATAAATAAGCTTAACCTTATTGTAATATATTCTCCAATCGCTTATGAATTAAGAAAATATAGGTCAATGTAGTAGAATGCAAATTGAAAAATTAAAAAACAGGTATTTTTGTTTATTATTTTGCCATTGAATTCAACATTTCTGGGTATTTTGGAGTCGGTATTATATATGCAAGTTTTTTAAGTTTTGTTCCGACAAGAATTAGATTACAGCGATGGTCAAAAGAATTAGATATTGCTTTGAAATCTACAGATAAGGTATGGCAGTTTCATTTTAAAGAACAAGATGTTAAAGTTTATGATAAAATTGTCATCAGAAATACTGTCCACTTACAGTTTACATAGGAAAATATTGGAGGATGAAGCTCTACCTACTGCCTCAGGTTAATTTAAATTCTGAGTTGCAATAACAGCAACAAGCAAGAAGGGAACCATTAAATGAATATTATACACAAAAGTATTATTATACACAGAAAGAGTAATATTATACACATAAATATCAACATTTTGTAGAGCAACAACAGAATAAAAGACCAAAATATGAACACCAGCAACTAAAACAGGAACCATTAAATGGATATTATATACTTAAGTACAATTTGATCGAATAAAAAACGGCGTCAGCGATGCCTATGAAATGAAGATTGCTGTCATTATATGTAAAATGATATGGAGAATGTCATCGATGTTCATTTCCAAGCCAACTTGACGCCGTGTTTTTTTGTAGTCATACAGTATTATTATACACATAAATAGTAATATTACACACATAAACATCCCTTGATAAAGATCAACATTTTGTAGAGCAATAACAGCATCAAATAATGGAAATAATGGACCCTATTGCTCAAATCAAAAACAAAATTTTAGCATTACCACTTTATTGGTTATATCAATAAACCTAAAGAAATTATTGAGTTTATGAGTCTAGATCCTACAAACAAGCAGATTTTAAATCACATAATTTTAAATGAAGATTTATCTATTAAAGTATGTATAAACACTTTGCATCTTTTATTCAATGTTGTAATGAATTAACAAATTGCAGGTAATTTATTCTAATAACAAAAAAAAAACTTTGGATCAAAAAATATTTTCTTCTGATGAGGTTTATGAATATTAAAGTCTGTTGGGAAGTTTGGCCATTATGTGTTGGTATACAATTTATTTATGATGTTACAGTAGTTCCATTCGAGTACGAAACGATTCGAGTACGAAACATGTTTAAAATCCACTATTCTTAATGAATGGCAACTACCAACTTGGGAGGAAGCTGCGAGAACGATTCTATTGGGTGAACTACAAGGAAGACATGAGGATCTGGAAGGGCTATAAAATTATATTATTCCACGTCCCAAGCCATGTTGGAATAGCTGGGAGTGAAAAAGAAGATAATACTGCATACGGTTCTTGTCTAGAAGTAGTTGATATTAAGGTAGTTAAGCCATCCGACTATCGAACATTTAAAATCCACTATTCTGAATGAATGGCAACTACGATGGCAAAACGTAAATAAATACTTGTACAAAATAAAATTACATTATATTGGCTTAATTTTTATAATAAATAAATGTAGGTATGAAGTTATTTTAAAGCTGCATTATATTTATTTTAAACCCATCACCAATTATTACTCTAAATAAAATTTTCTTAATTATAATTAAAATTAATTTTAAGCTAAAACGATCAGAATATTTTTTCGTCGTCTTGAATGACATTTACGAAATAACTTATGAGAAACAATAAAAAGGACCTAGTCTATTGCTGCTGAATAAAAAACTGTAATTTATTTCATGTGACATGAAAATAAAATTTGTATTTTTTTGAAACCCGCGGCTTCCCGTATATGATTCACGTCAAATATTTATGTCTTTTGAATCAGCTGTTCTAAAAATGTTCGGCGCATGTCTTAAATTTTAGGTTCTTGCTACAGCAGCGGCATCCTAATTCTTCCCTTTTTTGTTTATCCATCCATACACTCCATAGATTGGACCAAAGCCAAGTTGACTGTGTACGACACGTGTCACTGTGACAGTTACTTTTGACGTAAGAAACGTCAAAAGCTGATGTCCTGCGATCGCGACCAAATTTTCATCAGGGTGGGACCAGAGGTGGGACTAAGGATTTGATATTGAAGAAAAATGTGGGTTAATTTCGGCATAATTGGGGGCGGGCTACAGGATGACGCCCTCGACGTTTCGAACCGATGCGATGTCTCTAAATTGCCGAAATCATCAGGATCTTTCTTCATAATGTTGTATTGGAACCAAACAAAGCATATGAGAGGCACGGGATAGAGGTACACTGAATGGCATAATAAAATGGTGTCAGTTTTAACAATATGCCTATATTTAAACTAAAATGATTTTAATAGTTCTGCTCACTGCACTATGTTTGTATAAATGGATTGGCTCTCAATAATAAGACTATTGTTGAAAATACTTTATTGTTTTTTCTGTGTGGAGTTCTCAGACGGACAGACTGCCATTTTGATACAAATTATGTGAAACTGAATCAGATTATTTATTAATTTTTAATTTATTACTTTTTCAATATTATAAACTACACTTTTTCAAACATCCAAGCAATTTTAGTTTCGGCGATACCGCAAAAATCGGACCTTTAAAAAAATAATTTTTACTGAGAAAGTATTGGAGACCACGGATTTCTAAAAATGTTTATTATACATATTATTGGGTAAATGAACGGTAGACATAGTTAGAGATTTTATGAAATTTTAGTTTCGGAGATAATAGAATAGCAAAAATCGGACCTTTAAAAAAATAATAATTTTTACTAAGAAATTATGATAGACACGGGTTTCTATTTTTTTTATACATATTATTGGGTAAATGAAATGGTAGACATAGTTTGACTTATTAGGAAATTTTAGTTTTGGAGATATTACAAAAATCGGACCTTTTTTAAAATATTTTAATTTTTACTAAGATACTATTGGAGAGACGGTTTTCTAAAAATGTTTATTATACATATTATTGGGTAAATTAAATGGTAGACATAGTTTGACTTTTTATGAAATTTTAGTTTCGGAGATATTGCAAAAATCGGAATTCTTTTAAAAAATTGGCGCCGGGAGGCACGTATAGCCGCCCATACTAAAATATGTTAATAAAAAGTTGGTAGGCAGTTCTTTTAGTTTCAAAGTAAAGGAATTTTTCCAATTTTTTTTTATCTCAAAAACTGCGACTTTGACTGATTTTCTTGTAATTACAAATTTTGTTGCAAATATTATTCCTAATCTTAAATTGAAAACCGCGTTTCGCTAGCTATTGTAATTTTGGAGTTACGATTTTTAAAAATTTTTAACCCCCTCCCATACTCCCTTACCAACCCCCCACCCCCACCAAAAACTAATGGCCAGATTCTCGGATGCCACAGTATTTTTGTGCCAAATTTGGTGAAAATCGGTTTAGCGGTTTTTGAGTTATCGTGTTACAGACGGACAGACAGACAGACAGACAGACACCATAAAAATATTTTGTATTTAGGTCATTTATTTTTTTTTGCCGATCTTAATAGCCTACCATACCTATTGGTATGGTCGGCTAAACATTTTAATTTTTACTAAAACGAAGTGGTATTTAATATTTGGTTACTTTACTCTTAATCTTCAATATTAAAATTAAGAGACGTTATATAGAAAATTCATCCACATTAAAATTTCCCACTCTTATAGGAAAAAAACAGATTACAGAGTAAAATTTATACTGTAGGTATTCTGTGCAAGGAATTGAAAAATGAACCACCAAAATATTAATATGCTTTTTTATTAACCTTTTTACTCAAACTACTAGAGTTATTAAATATCTTAATACTTATTATTTGTTTGTTAATTTGTCGTCTCTAAAATAGAAATATTATTTACTATATTCAAATAAGTTCATTCATATTAATGTTACTTAGGTAAGTTCCATTTTGAATGAAATCTATAATTTAAATTTATCAAGAATCAAATTTCTATAACTACAAAAATATTTTGACATTATGAAAATGACATTTAAAAAACGATTTAATAAGTGTGTCATTTATTGTATTACTTAAAACAATTTTAAATAAGTTCTAGTAAATTTTCGATCGTAATCCATTTACGAAACCCGGTATATTTTAATTTTAAATTACTTTAACACATATGGGAAGGTGTGCTTACTGTCCATTGTTAGTCCTGTATTGTCATTTGTTTTGCCCGCAAGCTTTCTATATTGTTTTGATTTTATGTTCGGCGAGCGCTGTGTGAACTATCGAAAGTCAATTTTTTGGCGCTCTTATCTACAAATATCCGTTCTTATTTGTGGGAATACGGAAAATCCTGTTAGGCCAAACATGTTAGCAAAAACATGTGAACCAGATGAAGACGAGATGCAGTAATGAATGCTGATAACAGTCGTCTAGCAGAAGGTGTTGAATAATAATGTTTAAAGCTGTAACCGGTGTATTATTTCATTTGCTGCTATTTTCAGGTAATTACTAATTTATTTTTGTCTTATAAGTCTGTCATTTATTCATAGAGTAAAAAATTTAGATCAGTGCTATTAAATATTTGTACTATATTTATTTTTAAATTATTAATTAGGATATTCTCGAAAATTTTATATGATGATAAGTCGATAAGATTGTTTCAAAAGTATAAAAAAATATTTGGTTTTGGCATAAAGTTAATAATTAATAAAAAGTAATGATACTAATTGCAAACTACTTATTAATGATGAATAATGAATTAACAAGAAAGATAAAAATTAAAAACAAATTACATAAAATCGGAATAAATCGCAAGCTATTAAAAATAGGTGATATGGAATACTTAATAAAAGTTGAAGCTATTTGTGACATCAGTAAAGTAAAATGAGAAAAAATAATAAAATATACGGCGTGCTACTTAAAAAATTGAGAATTTTGAAATTTAATTCGTCCAAATTCATACATTTATTTTAAACAGCCTGAGGCTTACAACTTAAAAATCTTTACACAAATATTATAATAGATTGTCATCTTTATAAGACTATCTTACCAAATTTGAGTCCTCCAACTTTACAAAATCTAGAATTTTTAAAAAAAAATTACTGGTTTTAAATTTATAACCATTATTTTTATAAAATTTTACGCAACATTTTTTCTTTTTATTAATTTCTCCTAATTCTGCAAACAAACGAGATAATGAATTTTATACTCTAGGCATCGTTGCCCCACTCTGTAGAAAAATGCTATATACAGGGCGATATACTTGTTGTATTTTTATTTATTGTTCTATAAAACAACTTGGATTAAACTTCTCAAACTATAAACTTGATATAGAGCTGTTTTGGGACATTCTGTATATAATAGAGCTAATTTCTTTGGGTTATGGTGTTCCCTACCAGTAAAATGCTGTATCTCCAAACGAAGCATTTTAGGACATGATTTTATACGAACTTTTTAACTTATTTTCATCTGCAGAATATGTTGAAGAAGTTTCCAGATTACAATTCGGACCACCCTGTATAGTCATTTACCAGTGAAAAGTTATTTCATTATTTCTCTTGATTTTTGGATCTACCGCATTCTGTTCACTGACTACCGTATGATCGAATAAAAACCGGTGCCCAGTAGGCTGGAAAATGAAAGCGATCTTCTTTTCATAGCCATCATTGACGCCGTTTTTTGTTTGATTATATTGTATTTCTCATGTATTTCTTCAATACTTGCAATAGTGTCACTGTTAATTTAAGTTCTAAATACAATTTCCTTCTATAGAAGAATTGTATTTAGAACTTAAATTAACAGTGACACAAAAACAAAACGTTTCTAAATTGACTGTTTAATACTAGAAAACTGTTTATTTTAGAATTATTTAAGGGATAAAATAAATTAAAATATGGCCAGCTGAGTATCTATATCTTTAAAGACCCTCTATATATCATAACCAAATAATCATTCCACCTCTTTGACAGAGATGGGTTCCGATCCTTGGCAGATCAAATCTGTATGATATTTGAATTGAAACATTTAAATTTGATTTGAGATTTTGTCGATTTGTTTATCTTTACTGAGCTTACTTGCCTTTACTGAAAGGTATTAAATAAAAAAAACGTTTTGTTTTTGTATTATACAGGGTGAGTCTTAAATAAGTGCAAATATTTTCAGGGTTGGTAGATCTCGATAAAAGAAACATATTTTCTCTTTACCATTTTTCATACAACCGAGTTATTTAAATAAGTTTGAAAATTTAGAAAAAAAAAATTTTAAAAATTTTGAGAACCACAGGAGTTTTTCTATATTTGCATCCCTTTTATTGCCGTAACCATAGAGTAAAGCCGTAACTATGGTAATATCTGAGATTAAGGAATTTTACCGTGGGCAAATTTACGGTGAACAGGCAGTTCTAAAAAGTTTTCAAAAAATATACAGGGAAATTTTTAAAAAATGCACGATTTCAACATCTTTTTTTAACGAATAAACCTCATAGAGGTGTTCCTGGGGTCGAAATATAACACCCCTGAAAATATTTACACTTATTTAAGACTCACCCTGTATAATTAATAGATAGAGCAGTTAATGAAGAGTCTATCTCTTATTCTATTTCTCTCTATCGTAAGATGCCGAGAAAAAACCAACAAATGAAATTGATGTAGGTATGTACAGGGTGGACCATTTTGGTTGTTTCTATAGGGTATCTAGGAAACCGTAAGAAATATTCAAATTTTGATACTGCAGTCTCGGGTTCTTTTTTTGAAAAAATCACTATGCCGCAAACGGATCGTGGCTACCTTGATCGGTTTCGAATCTACAGGGGGATTCTCAAATTTTGTACTTTTTGAAAGTGTTCGATAGTTTGTTTATTTCAGCAACTACGCAAAAATGAATTATACATTCTAAAGGCACTTTTCTGTGTAGAATGCAGGGGCGTAGTCAGACTTTTTTCGAAAAAAATATTTTTTTAGATATTAACTATACTTCTGTTTTTTTAAATACAACCCCCTGTATATTTTTTATTTTCTTGATTCAGCTTGGCATGGGCTTCTCAAAAATATATAACACTCTATATTTATTTTCACTATTATAACCTCAACATTTCAAATTTTTCTTAAAATATCCAGTTAGTATAGTAGGCCGCGCCGAATAACAAAGTAAACGGTTGTCATGGTGATCGGCACATACCTTTGATAGATGCGTGACATTTCATTTCAACAGATTGAAGTGTGTGTATTTTAAATAATAAAAAATGAGTAAATTTGAAAATTTTGAGAAATATAATATGTTAGAATGTTATATTGAGTCTAACAAACATAAGCAAATGACAGCTGATTTATATTTTGAGGGGTATTTTGAGCGCGAGCAACCAAACCCAGCCATTTTTAAAAGGTCAGAAAATAGTTTAATCCTAGCCACCTAGGTCACCTGATATCACTCTTTTAGACTTCTTTCTCTGGGGCTTTTGAAAAACAAAATTTATCGAAATGAAAATTTATTAGAAGAGTTACAAAATAGTTTTGTTGTGGCTTTGCAAAGTGTAACCAACATACACATTCGAAATGCTGTCAGAGGCGGCGTGAAAAGACGGTGCCAACTCCGTCTAGATAATAATGGGCAGCAGTTTGAATATTTAATGTAGTCTTTGTGTTTCTATTTTTTATATTAACTGAGAAGCTCGATTGAAGTAACCTGTTGAGTTTGTATTAAAATATGTTCTTTTGTTTCTGTCACACTTATTTTTTATTTGCTTCGTATTTTTCTGAATTTATTTAATTGCTAATACATGGATTAATCTGAAAGTAGATATTCGCTTGTTTGCTTTAATACTCGGCATGACCTACCAAGAGGAAAGTCGATATCTTTAAATAAATTGGAATTTTAAAGTTAATAGTGGAAATAAATATATAGTGTTATATATTTTGGAGAAGTCCATGGCAAACTGAATCAGGAAATTTAAAAATATACAGGAGGTTGTATTTAAAAAACACAAGTATAGTTAATATCTAAGAAAATATTTTTTCGAAAAAGTCTGACTACGCCACTGCATTCTACACAGAAAAGTGCCTTTAGAATGTTTAATTCATTTTGCCTAGTTGTTGAAATAAATAAACTATCGAACATCTTTAAAAAAGTACAAAATTTGGGAATCCCCTGTAGCTTCGAAACCGATCAAGATAGCCACGATCCGTTTGCGGCATTGTGATTTTTCAAAAAGAACCCGAGACTGCAGTATCAAAATTTGAAAATTTCTCACGGTTTCCTAGATACCCTATAGAAACAACCAAAATGGTCCACCCTGTACATTGAAATTTTGACCCCCACTATACAGGGTGTCCCAGAAATAAGTGCAAGTATTTTAACTGGTAGAATAGTTCAACTCCAAAAACACGCCTATGAGGTTTTTTTCGCGAAAAAAAAATTTCCAAAATTGGAAATTTTTTGAAAAACCTTTTGTAATTTTTTTTAGCTTTTAATTAAAAAAAACATAATTTCTTTGTATTTTTATGGCAACATAGATATTAGATTAAATTTACAAGAAAGAATCCAGAAAAGATCCAGTGGTTCACAAAATTTTACCAAAAAATAATTTTTTTTTGGAAATTTTCAAAATAAAATAACTCCGTTATTTGAGACTTATCTGAAAAACGATAAAGAGAAAATATGTTTCTTTTATCGAGATCTACCACCCCTTAAAATACTTGCACTTATTTTTGGGACATCCTGTATAGGCAAAAAACTTTGCGAAATGAAAACCAATAAAAAAATAATTTAAGAAAATATCTACCTACTTATTTTTAAAAATAGCAACCATCTATTTTTTCCTACACATATATTTACTATTTACACTCTGTATATTAGATAAACTTATCCTTCTGACTGAAAAACTCAACATTGTAAAACGATACATATTGCAATAATATCACCCAATTTTGGATTTGACCTAGTCGATGCATTGACCCCCAATTGACCTCCTATTGGGTCAACCGCCTAATTGGGTTCAGCTACAAGTCCAGAATTTGATTAATACACAATATATGATCAAAATCAGGTGCTTTAACTTTGACACAATAAAGTAATTTTCTATAAAATTGTCTTATTTGTCATCATACAAAAATAGCACGTCATGAAAATCTGAATTAACGAAATCTTTTATGCAAGTCCTTCTCTTCATTCTGTTCACATAAAAATGATTTTAAGGTTTGGTAAATACGTTAAAGGGATGTCTGATGATGACTATTAAAAATAGTTTTTTTTATAAATTTTTTTAGATGGACTACAACTTAATTTCGGAGACTGCCCTGTATTCCTTTACGAGCGCTGCACTCACAGCGAAAGCGTAAAATTCATTCTTTCAATTCAGTCCCACAATCAAACAGCATTTTATTACTTGGATCCCTTCAGTCCAGATTTACCAGCTGAGTTTAACAATTACGTAAGTTATCTATAAATATACGATATACAATACTTTAAACAGACTGCATAAATACTTCGATCTCAAGACAAAATAATAATAATTATAACTTAAACCGTTTAAGGTACCTCTAAAAATTGTCATACATGGTTATGGTGGTTTGGACCTTGATCCTAGCACGACGAGTATAATAGAAGCTTACGAAAATATAGGATATAACGTTATAACTGGTAAGTAAGATTTCCGGAACCGGGAATTTCGGTACAGCGCCCTCTTAGGAACCGGTTTTTTTTCGGTATTTTCGGAACTAATTAATTCGTGTTCAATGATGGTGCAGTTCATCAATTAAAAAGCAAGGGATGGTTTTATTACAATGTAAAATCGATAAAAAATTGAGATTTTTAATGAAAATACCAAATTATTAAGTAATCGGTCATGAGAAAATTAACATGAACACAAGCGAAGAAACAAACTTAATGTGGGTAATTTAAAATTCACATCAAACAACATAACCCAATTTAACTAAATTTGAGAAAAAAAACTACATTTTCAAATTAAAAATGAAAATATGTATTAAAACATAACATAAAATATAAGAATATATAAACAAGGATATAACCAACTAGCGTGTACAGTTTGACAAATATAGGAAGAGACTTGGGGATAGCACCGGTCGCACACACGATAGAGAGAGAACGCATTCGGCAGAAGAGAGATGCAGTTACGCTACGAGAAATCTGATCAAAGCAAATTTCGTTCGCGTCGAATTAATCATTTGTAATGGTGATGATAAAGCAAAGCAAGAATTTCCATTGACTTACAAACTGGATAAAATTTTCTCACACTTACGTCAGCATGAGAAAAAACAATATGGCGATATTATTATATAACTTGGTAATATTTGAGTGGTATAGTTTAGGGGTAGTTTCGTTTCGTTGGAATTTAACTTTCGAAAAATCCGTTTGCCAAAAATAAGTTTTTTACGTCAAGCAGTTTAAGCAGAATCGTGGTTAAGAAATTACCCAACTTTTTGGAACACCTTCTATGATTTTTTAAAAAAATTCAAAATATGAAAAAAACCAAATAAATTATGCTTGTCCAAGCGTTTTCTCGAAAGACTAACCGTTTTTTAAATAACAAATATTGTAATATTTGAGGGGCGTTTTCACCCTCTTGGAATTTGAGATTCGAGAAACCCCTCCTTATCGAACCTCTACACCCCACAGTCAATCCGTTTGCCAAAAATCAGCTTTAAAGCAGTTTAAGCAGAATCGTCAAGTCAAGCAGTTTAAGCAGAATCGTGATTACTCAATGGTAATATTTTATGAAACACCCTGTATAAATTTATAAAAAATCTTAAAATATGTAAAACAACAAAATACAATATACGTGTTTAAGAGTTTTTCCGAAAAACTTACCTGTTTTTAAATGAAAAATATTTTAATATTTGACGGATAGTTTCACCCCCTTAGAATTTGAGTTTCGAAAAATCCCTTCTTATCGAACCTCGACACCCTAAAGTCAATCTGTTTTCCAAAAATCAGCTTTTTACGTCAAGCGCTTTAAGCAGGATCGTGATTAATCAATGACCAGATTTTTCGAAACACCCTGTATACATTTTTAAAAAATCTTAAAATATGTAAAAAAACAAAATAAAATATACGTGTTTAAGCGTTTTTTCGAAAACTTGACCGTTTTTTAAATAAAAAATATTGTAATATTTGAGGGGTGGTTTCACCAAGGTTTCACCCTCTTGGAACTGGAATTTCGAATAATCCCTTCTTATCGAACCTCTACACCCTAGAATCAACTTGTATGCCAAAATTGAGCTTCTTACGTTGAGTGGTTTGAGCAGGATCGTGATTAATCAGCATGTGAGTCACTTAAGGATTTTATATATCAGTATAGATGATACATTGAACAACATTATACTAAATAATAAAATAACATATATTTAAACTTCTATAATTGTTAGTAAACATCATATAAACTTCAAAAGGAAAAAGAAATATCATTATTCCTTAATTAGATTGATTTCGACCGCTAGAAAGTATCAAATGACTTTCTCACTTAAAAACATTTTTAATTATTGTTACCGAGTCCTGAATGAACCGGGAATTAGTTTCGAATATTTCTGTGATGGCCAAAAAGATCTTTGAATACTCGGTTCTGAACCCTAACTGGGAGTATTTAGAGTGGTATTAGGGTTTTCGGAACCGGAGCTGTTTTATGGAACCGGGAATTTAGGTACAATGCTTCCAAGGAACCGGAATTTCTTGGTTTTGTTGGCACTACTAAATTTTTGTTAAATCCTTGTGCAGTTCGTCAATTAGCAAGCAAGGGATGGTTTTCAGAAGTAAAACCGATAGAAAATTCATTTTTAAATGAAAATAATATCAAATTATTAAGTAATCAATCATGAGAAAATTAACATCAACACAAATGAACACAAACAAAGAAAAAAAAACTATATTAATGTGAGAGTAGTTTTTATGAGATGGACGAAATGGACTGAATATGGACATAATACTTAATGTAATATAAATTAATATCTACAATTCAGAATATATTCTGAATTGTATTAATTGTTCTTTAGGTATACAATACGAGCCAAAAAAAACCGCGTCTAAGGAATGACAATCGATAAAATTGGCGAGGTCAGTTCCTCGACGTCATTTCCTTGGCTTTTTCCTTAGATTTTAATGGCGCTTACTGCCGCCTAACGATGTTAGTGTTAAGAAGGTTGTAATTTATTTTTATATTGATTAACAATTATTTTTAAACGATGTAGTTTAAAATTCGGGAAAAATATTTTTTTTTATAAATAGATTTGTGTGTCTGAAAACGCCCTCGTCTTTTTTAATATCTCTATAATTAGTGTAATTTTGAAAGTTTGTCAATTTTTAATAAATGACCTGTAGATATTGACCACGCCAAAATTATAATCGATTGTCATTCACCAGCGTTTTCCGTTATTCCTCTATAGCGTTTACTTATAGTTGATTGGAAACCTCTCGCTGAAATACCATGCTACGCCACTGCTTATCTCAATACGTGGCATGTAGCTCAATGCCTTTCCATACTTGTCGTAAGCCTAATGCCGTTAGGCATAAATCCAAAATCCATTCATGTGGTTGGATTCAGTTTAGGAGCACACATTTCTGGATTGGCCGGTAACAATTTGCAAAAAGTGTTGGGAACTTCATTCTCCAGAATCACAGGTAAGAAAAATGAATCGAATCTTCCTTTTACAGTGTCTTACTCTATACAGTGATGTATGACATCAGTGTTTTACAAATACATGGGATCTACATTTTATCGGCGAATCCATGGAACTATTTGAGAGACTGTATATGTACAAGGCAAAATACGAGTATGCTCAAAGTGATTTGCCATTGCCTTTTTTGTGACTCTGGTCGCTCTATTTAGATAAATAGTTAATTTAATTTAAATAAATGAAGCAACCGTACTGGCTGGGATCGAACCCAGTACCTCTCGCACAGCAGTCGACACACTACGTTGGAGCCACGGCCGGCCACTGGAATCTAATCAATCCTGTAGAGTGACCATCTGTAGAGTGAATATATCTGCAAAATAAAACACTAATACACCGCTTCTTCTTTGTACGTTAAGACCAAGTCCTGTGTTTTCTTCAAGGGTTCCCTAGGAACAGTTGGGGGATGAACAACCTAAACACGCCTGGACGACCATCATCTTATAGGTGGTCGTCCATGGTTATAGTTGGTTCTCATGGTCTTTCCACTCTCTTTTTCAGTTTCTTACCCTTCTTACTTGTCCTGTATTTCACATTTCCCTTATATCCTCACTTCTTTTCCGGTCATATAAGGTATATCCTGTAATTGATCTAAGTGCTCGAATTTCTCTCTGTTGTTCTTCTACACATACTGCTACTAATACATCACAATACATTATTCTTTTAAACACTGCAAGCGCGTTTCGCTAACCATAAGCATCAGCAGCAGATGATTAAAACTAAACTAATATATACAAACATCTTACATCTATATAGACGTCGCCAAAGTGCTGTATAGAGTACGGCATTTTAATAAGAAATAAAAAAGTTGCTTTTACTGTACTGATTTTCTTCTTACTCTTTTTTCTCATCAAAAAAAAATAATAATAATTTTAGACATTAAAAGTAAAACTTGTAGACACATTTATTTTTTGAATAACGAGACGGAATCACTATCTGGTTTGTTGCAAATTATATATGGTTTCTAGGTTTAGATCCAGCTCTTCCATTTTTCGCTACGTTAAGTAACGACTGGAAACTGGATAAATCTGATGCCGATTTTGTGGATGTTATTCATACTAGTGCGGGAACTTTTGGCAAAGTCGAAGCTACTGGTCACGCAGACTTCTATGTTAACGGAGGAGTTCTACAACCAGCCTGTATATCTCGAAGATGTAAGTTATAATAAGGTATAAGTACGGAAAAAGTGGAAGCATTAGGATTAAACTATTAAAATTTTGCATTAATTTGTGAAAAAATCATAGTTTATAATTTTTGTTGGAAGTGTATGTAGTAACCTGCTATGCCGGGGGCGTTTCAAAAGTAGTTCACCCATATAACTTATTTATTTTTTCATATAAAAAAAAAGATTTGGTATGTTAGTATATGACATAAATAATTGATTGATTAACATATTCAATTGTTTTTGGTCACTACCTGTTTTACCGGACATGACTACAACTTTTGATCTTTAAATTTCACCCTCGGTATATTTCTACTTTATTCGATAGAAAATGAAACTCTGAATAGAATGACATATCATATGTTAACTGGTGACATTTTGGCATATGGTTTATTTGAAATTGTAACATGCGGTTCATAACAAAATTTGAGTCAAAATACCAATTGTGTGGTATCAAATTATTCGTAAAAAATGCGTTTTCCAAATATGCTAACGAGCCACCCTTGTTCCATTTGAAAAATTTGAGATATTATTAAAAATACGATTTGGGCATCTTTTAACCGGCCAGGACAAGACACGAAAAACATTAGATGATCAAATCTATTTTTCCAAGGCTCCTTGATTAAAAATTAGTGTTTTTAATACAACTCCAGACTGAAATTTAAAATACGATTTTTTTAAGCGAAAATGTCAAAAGTTAACATATGTCATTATCTATTCAGAGTCGTCATTTTCTATAAAATAAAGTAGAAATATACCGGGGTTGCCATTTAAAAATAAAAAGTTGTAGTCATTTCCGGTGAAACAGGAAGTGATCAAAATCAATTGAATATGTCAATCAATCTAAATTTCTGTCATATACTAACATACTAAATTTTGTTTTTTTTATTTGAAAAAATAAAAAAGTTACAGTGGTAAACAACTTTCGAGACGCACCCGGTATAATATCTTCCTGGCCAAAAATTCACCTCTTTTTACACAAAAATGATGAAAAACTGAAGATAAAATTAAACATGAGAACAATCAAACATACAATTACAACGAACCCCTTCTATATCCAAGAACTTCTTTTCTAATCCTAGAATTTTTTATACTGCACTTTGAAAAAGAATATACTCCACTATTTCCTAATCTTTCAGATCTATGTTCTCTTACATGTGATCTTAATATTCTTATGTGGAATTTTTAAGCATATTCAACATCTACACTTTTAACTTTTAATAATTCCTTTTCAATTGGAAGTTGCCTATACATTAATGCTGGGTAATCCGATTTAGTTTGTATACCATAATTTTGGAATCGTGTGTATTGTGGTAAGGTTGTAAGGTTACAAAAATTGGGATCTTTCTGATTAGGGAATGCAATCCCGCAAATGTGGGATCCCTCTAAGATTCCGCGGGATCGAAGTTGCGGGATTTATCGTGCGGGATCCGCGGGATTGACACATTACTACTGGGTAACCGAATCGATCTCGATCAAGGTCAAACCCCTTCATTCCGGGCAGCTCGGAACCCGGGGAACCCATTTAACTAGTACTTGTGGATTGTGGACAATTTCGTCAAATAAACCGCCGGACATAATTATCGGGACAAGCAAAATTTTAGGGTAAATTTAAAGTTGAATATCTCTTGAACTAAAAAAGATTTTGGGATGCGGTTTGGACCAGGTTTTAGATGCATCTATTGTGATTAAGATGCTATGCGGTTTTCGAAAATATATTTAGCGAATTCTCGTATACAGGGTGTTTTATAAGAGAGTGAAAATTTGGTCAAGAATCTTTTTTACCGCAAATTTGCGAGTTTTAAAAAATCGAAATTTTTATCAAGTACGACTAATCGGTATTGAAATTAGAAAAAACAATTTGATCGGCTTTTTAATTTTTTTTGTTTTAAGGAAAATTTACTTTTTTTTTGAAAAGTGCATTTTTAGTCATATGTATGGTCCAAAGTGGTACAAAAAGCTTTGTACATTCTGCATATGCCAAAAAATTATTGATATAGAGTGTATCTAAAAGCAGATAACTAACACAAGTTAAAAAAAAACCTTTAACATCAGAATAATATTTTTATTTATAAAATAAATAGATAAATTATAATAAAATTTAAGTTTATTTAATATTAAATATATTTTTGAACTCCCTGTATAAATCGGTCCAAATTTCTGTACAGCTAGTTTAAGATACACGCTATATCAGTATATTGTGGGCCTATGCAAAATGTACAATGCCTTTTGTATCATTTAGGACCAAATGTATGACTATTGTTTACAGTCCCGCAATTTTGCGGATCCGCGGGATTGATTGCTTTAATCCCGCGGGTTTGCGGGATTGAGATTTTGGTGCGGGATTGCATTCCCTATCTCTGATCATAGCTTATAGAAAATTCTCAATTTTTCTAAAATTTCTATTAGATACCCTCGAAGTATTGAGGACTGAAGTATTTAATATACTCCAATCCATACTTCCAAATATTGGGATTTTGCATGCATTATTGTAAAGCGTATGTACATACATTACACAGTAGTTTGTGTCTAACATCAAGTTGTTTATCTATATATTTTCAGCTCCTCGCGATTGGCAAATACCAGTTAGAGATAATTTGCTATACTCCGAAAGTTATCGCCATCATGCTACTCCAGTCACTCTAGTGCAATGAAGGTACCTCGATGAACAAAATTCCTAAAAGCGTTATTTAGGTTTATGCTAGTAACCATTAACAACATAACAACATAGTAAAAGACCTCTGACCACGTACACCATCCAAAAACAACAACTAAAGGCAAAAACCCTTAAATTTTCCACATCCGCTTTACTATTCTAAACCAATAACTGTTACACCAGAGACAGCGATTCTTTTACAAATATTTATAATAAATATTGATTTGTGACTTTTGGCACCAAACTTACTAAATTTGAACTTTTTTCTGTAAATTAATTCTTTTTTTTAGATCCGCCACTTTGCAGCCATATAATGGCAGGATTGTACTTTGCAGAATCCATAAAGAGCTCAGTGGAAGGAGGAAACTCTTTTATAGCTAAACCATGTGAAAATATAGTACAATACTTTTTAGGACTATGTGGCAATTCAGAGAAATTAGCCGTTATGGGAGAGAACACTTATTATTTGTTAGTATAGCCATACTATATTTTTGTTCATGGCAAGGTTTCTGCTGTCTTTAGCAAGCACAAATACTTAACAGAAAACCACAAACGCAAAACCACAGTTGAGAAAAGAATCCCTTAATATTATATCCTTATTTATTTATAGGAAAACTTGAAATAAACAAATCGTAATATTATTTTTTTTTCTTTTAGAACCAGAGGCTCGTACTTCCTAGAAACGAACGATAAAGCTCCATATGCATTAGGTTTTAAGTCGTATTATTATAAGAACAAACTTATTAGTAAGAAGTCTGCTGTTGATAGGAATTATTTAAGGGATGTTGTAAACTCAATTTGTTGAAAGTAAAAAGGTATAACAATTAATTTAGTCTTTTATTGTAAATAAATAATAATAAAATTTTAGATTAATTCGTTATTTACATCTTCTTTCCCGAAATAATGAGGTTGTAGTTTATATTTGCCATAAAATACATTACTAGGTACTGTATCAGTATCCTTCTTTTTATTTTCTTCTAAAGCCTCCTTAAATAATTCGTCTTCTTCTATTACCGATGGTTCTAAAACTTCATTTTGGTAATGTTGTAACATGGCTATAGGATTTTTCCCAGTGGCGTAGGAAGGTAAATGTGGATAAATAATCCTGTTAAAACTAAAGCTTGTATTGAGCTTTCCAATGGCAAAAGGGGGGGCTGAACTAGTAACAACCTGAAAAAAAAATCATTTTTGTAACTACCAGAAAAAACATATATTTTCTTTTCCCAAAACAAAGATAAATAAATTAGACTAATGAAGTGGTATAATGACCTTTTTTTATTTAAATATAAATACACTACTCAAACTCAAAACAATTTTCGCATATTTGAATAAAAGTAATTATGACATATGACACATTTCTAAATAAAGCATGCATTTTTCTGCCTTTCTTTAGTGAGTTTTGTAAATTTTAGAATAATGAGGTAATATCAGATGAGGGAGTTATCATGATAAATAATACAAACTTAATAGAGTACTTAAGATAAGCCGAATAAAGGTACTAGTTTTTTGCTATACTTACCATATATGTTCCAAAAAGTGATTTGTCGATGTTTTCACCCAATAGAACTTGAATCTCGTTGGGTGGACATCTGCCAAACAAGTACACATAAAAGCTGGGACATTGCCAACCCCAGAAGCCCATGTTTGTGTTTATAGATTCTGCATAATATAAAGGAGCTCTGTGATGATTGCATGAAAAAAAATCTGGATACGAAAATAAATGTTAAATATATACAATAATAAAATTATCCATTACATTAGTGAGAGCGCTCAACAATGATTGAAATAGTTGATTATTTTCATTTTAATCGTATTAATATGATTAATTTTGTGACGGTATTTAATTAATATATAAGTGGATTTAGATTAAAACATTTCCAATTTAGTTATTGAATTAGTGTATTAGAAAATTTAGTTTAGGTTACGTGCCCGTAAAATTTTTATTACAAAGCGCATATGTTAAGTTAAAAAAATATGTTGTATCATAAACTATTATAATTCTAAAAAAATGTTTGTTAGAAGATCCAATACCCCGCTGGCAAGTGAACCTTTAGGTCGGCGTTTACATGTATAGGAGTGAGTCGTTATGGCAATCTAGTAAGTCGGAGTGAACAAAAATACGAAGTATTTATTATGTAACCACTTAATCTGCGATTTTGCGATATTTACAACATTATGTAATTTATTAATTATCGGTACTATTATGTTACTGAGGATGTACGTAACTACGTAATAGAGCATATTTTTTGGTTAGTTTATTTAATGAAGCGTACACACTGCTTTGGTTGCTGATTCTCGTGTGTCAACGTGTTCAGTACAATACGATATACTGAGAGAGATGCTGATGCTCTATTACGTAGACACGTACATCCCTACTTGCATAATAAGACAGATAATCTATTAATTACATAACGTACTAAAAGCGCAAATTCTATTGTCGAACGCTGTAATCAGTATAAGATTATGTATTAAATAATTATGGAGGTGCATATAAAACATTAAACGATTCATCATTGTGTTAAGTTATACCACATAATTTAACAAAAAGATCAATCATTTAATGTCTCACTTCACACTGTCTCACTCCATTATTATTTAATACTGATTAGAATGATCGACAATAGTATTTGCGCTATTTACTACATTATGTAATTAATTGATTATCTGTCTCATTATGTAACTGCGGATGTACGTGACTACGTAATACAGCATATTTTTTGGTTAGTTTATTTAATGAAATAACCGATAATGTACCCACGGCTTTGGGTGCCGATTGTCGTGCACAGAGTCTATAGACAAGAAGTTGAGCTCCGGATTAAGTGGATAGGTAATAATTTTCTCTCCCCGACTTACAAGATTGCCATAGCGATTCACTTCTAGACATGTAGGTAAATGATAGATAAAACATGTACGAAAATAAACGACCCAAGATTTTCTCTTGCCGACCAGTATTATCGTAGTCTTAAAGAAATTAGAATAAAATAAACTATGTTAAAAATTTTCATGTATACCACTGAAATGAGAATAATATATCTAAGCTAAATGTAATCTATTACAGTTGTAGTAAAATGAGTAACTAATTGTCGAAAATCCAGATCCAACCCTAGATGCAGCATTGTTTTGAAACGTCTACTTATGCGGTTTGAAATTTTGATGCAAATTCCGGTGATGATCATTTGATTTGCCATTAAGCTGTCTACATTACTGTCTTACATGTTAAAATCCTATACACAGTAATAGAATGACCAGGTCGCTATAACTACTTAATCTGACGCTAGATTCCATGCACTTGGGAAAATACTCGCCTTCTGTCTTTATTCAGTACATCTTATTTTACTAAGCGTGTTGACAGTACTCTTCGTACACATGAAAACCGGCACCCAAGACCAAAAATGCCGACCCTTAGTATACAACAAAATGCATTTAAAATTAGTAAGAAATAAGGTAAGAAATTCATATATTAGTATATTTAAATTTAAAAAGCAAAATGTACCTTTTATCTGTTTATCTTATAATTCAGCGTGTTTGTGTTGTTTTATAACAAAAAATATAAATTAAATATTTTTATTTCTTCATAACTATTATGTAAGTAAGAATTCTTTAATTTTTTTCCCAAAATTAGCGTTACAAATTATTTTAACCACAATAAATTTATAATCTGGTTTATTGTGGTTTTTATATAAACATTTTAAATCGCTTTTATCTGGTAATATAAATATTGTATATCACAAAATACTTATTTTTATTTTATAAAAAGATATAAAAATACAAAATAGAATTTTTTTAAATATATCTATCCATTTTATTTTCTTTTTAATATATGTATAGGAAGATATGATATAAGAAAGGAATTGGATGACTCTATTGTAAACAAATTTAATTTAACGCAGTTGGGGAATTTCCAAAGAAATAAATACGTTTTAAGTTTGCAGTGCTATACGCAGAGACAATACAGTAAAGGGGCGGATACAGAAATTTATTTTGGGGGGGCCCAAATCCGCCACTGATACAGTAGCCAGTTCTGGAAAAAAATAATGCATGCTTTACAAAAAATAATCTAAATTGATAAATATCTTTATAAATTTTTATAACTATTTTATGCATTTCAGATATTATGTCCAGTATTATTTCTTAAAAACCTATTATTTAAATAACGTAGATTTAAGAGAAAATGACAAAACTCAAATGCGAGAAAACTGAAAAAAGACTAGGGAAATAGGCCTAATTTACATAGACGGAAAAAAAATCTCTTAAAAAATTACTCACTGTCTGTACCCCAGCAACCTGGTTGTATAGATCCTCCATTGAAGTAAAAATCTACATGACCCGATTCTTCAGCTTTGCCCTGCATGAAGGCATTAGTATGATAAACATCAACAAAATCAGCATCGCTCATGTCCAGTTTATTTTCTGTGTCAGTGGTAATAAAGCCAGGCAGGGCTGGATCCAGTCCTGTTATTCTTGGCAACACGTAGGGCCTTAGAGCAATGGAAAGATAATTGGCAATGTGAGCACCTAAAATATAATAATAATTTTCTATGAAGTTTATTAAAGTATATTAATACTAGATCGTATAATCCGTAGATTAATTATACCAAAAGATACAGCACGATACCATTGATACCACAATCACAATGAAATATTTGTCCACGAAATAATCGCAGCTTCTTTCAACAAAAGGCTGCGCTGTTGGGAAAAAGTTGTATTTCTAGTATCGTAAGTAAACGATGATTCTTTGAAGAAAGATCGATATTTAAAACCAGCTCTATGATTTATAGGGTAGTTTACTCCGATAAACAATCAAGTGTTATACTTACATATACCTTGCGGACGTTTTAAACGTAAAAGTTTGCTGTATATTTTCTATAATTAACCTAATAATAAAACTATATTAAGGATGATTCACAGTACACCGGAGTTCCGTGAAGTAGACACCGAGCCACGTCCGATCCTTCTGTATATGCAACACCGAGTTGATAACGGGGTTCGTATTAGTTCCGAGTATATTAGAAAACACAGCCCCATAGACACACGAAGATTTAATACGAACAATGCCAAAGTTCTCGCAATTGGAATTGGTACCAATTGCAGTTGATGAATAAAGAACAACACCTGCAGGGGAAACACTGTTCAAAAGGAAAAGATGAAGGATCTATCTTGTTCACGCATCCTTCATTGTCCAGTTTTTAGAAAACACAGCCCATAGACGCACGAATTTAATACGAACAATGCCAAAGTTCTCGCAATTGGAATTGGTACCAATTGCAGTTGATGAATAAAGAACAACACCTGGAAACACCTGCTCGGAAAAGATGAAGGATCTATCGTTAAATTTTGTCCTTTCATTTGTCCAGTTTACGCATACCCTGTCGTCAAATACTGCTGTAAGATTCACTAATACTTACTACAGACATGATAAAAAGTGTACTTTGTTTATATCATGACTGCAGATTGCAAGCGTCGGGGGCACCAGGAAAGTACATTCATGCTTTCCGCAACGGGGCGGAAACGGAGCGGATCCGAGAAAAAAATGTACGCCGACATTTCTGGGACGGGGCACGGACGAGTTCCGGCGAAGCTCGGATCGTGCTCGGCCTGGCATGAATGTATATGTGTAAAGAACATTTGACATTGTTTGGCCGTGTCTTCACCGACGCACGGCTCGGACCCGTTATGGTATAGCGTGAAGCATCCTTTAAAGTATATAGTTTCTAATATATAGTCCGTCTAGAAAGTATCTGGAATTTTATATTTTTCCTTATTTTAATGTTTTTTTTTCTGTAACACTGTAAGACAACAGTAATCCATCACGTAGGCTGTGCCGATAGTAGGCTATGACCAAAATCGCATGGCAACACCATCTGTCAAATATTGTTGATTGTAAACCGGCTTAAGATTTGAGAAATAATAATAATAATAATAAAGCCTCCTAAATTCCAACCCAACGTCCACGTCGTAGGAGGTGGAAAACGGCTTAGCCGGCCAACTGGGCTCTGGTACCGCTATGTGGGTTAGCAACCCATGTAGTGTGAAATATTGCTCCAAAAAATGTAAGAAGCAATCGAGGCGGGGCAGGAGGGCAAGCTGCTCCTGTTCGGAACCGTCGTGATGATCAGCTTGCAACAGATGACGACCCAGCACCGAATAATGGACTAGAACCCGCTAGAAGTGTTTTGCAGGACATACGCCCTACAACCACCCTAGCAGGTAAAGCACGACAGAGGATGAAATGGACCGACGAAATTAACAAAAACCTACTCCTCTGTTACTTCACCGTTACTAATCTCCAACAAAATACAACAGGATATAGAAGTCAGTTATATCAGGCCTTTATGAACATCTATCCAGAACTTAGGGAAATGATCACAGAACAAAGACTATCAGACCAAATTCGAGTCATAATACGAAACAACAGAATATCTCCAACAGAAAGAGAAACTATAAGAAGACAAGCGGCCGAAGCCATACAAAATGAAGACGAACCACAAGCACAACAATCAGCTTCACCTACATCACACCCACAAACAATCACACCAGAAACACCCGAAACACATACCATGCTGACTAACACCCAAAGCTCATCAGCAGAGTCGTCGACAAGACACACCCAACACGAAACATTAATCCCGCCAACAGACACATGCAAACCATCTAATCAAATTGATGAAACATTTAATGAACTATACGCCCAATACCAGGGAGCAAACCCATCATCCAGACCTTTCATTACCAGACCACAAAACACACAAAATATCAAAAACACCATTGCAATAATTAATAACATCATAGGAAAAAGGATTGAGGAATCAAACAGCTGCCTAGACATTGAAGAAATTCTCACGCTCGTATACTGTGGAGCAGCAACAACTATGCGAACCCACGAACAGAAGAATAAAAACAACGACTTAACTAAAACTAAAGCAGCAATACCCCCATGGCAGCATCGGCTCCAGAAAAAGATAGCCACACTGAGGAAAGAAATTGGAGTCATCACACAACATTTGAAAGGAAACCTAAAAAAGAGACCCCCGCAAAACATATTACCAGATATCAGCTCAGAAGAATCAGTAGTAGAAATATTAGATACTAAAAAACAACAACTACAGGCACAAGCAAAAAGACTAAAACGATACAAGAAGAGCCACCAAAGAAAACAAGAAAACAAACTTTTTAACACAAATGAAAAAAGGTTCTACAGATCTCTCGAAACAACGGAACAGCAAATAAACAATCCACCATCAATTACAGAAGTAAAAAACTTCTGGGAAAATATCTGGTCACAAGCAGTAGAACACAACAGAGAAGCTCAATGGATAACAGAAGAAGAAAACAAGCAGATAAATACAACAGCCATGCCAAATGTAACAATCACCTTAGAAGACATCAAAGCTGCCATATCCAAGACACACAACTGGAAAGCACCTGGAGACGACAAAATACAGAACTACTGGCTAAAATCATTCACAAGCATCCACAAACCACTAACGAATATATTTCAAAATTTTGTACAAGGAACGGAAGCCATCCCCTCTTTTTTAACTCAGGGAGTTACCTACCTTAAACCCAAAGGCACGGACACTGCAAACCCATCTAAGTACCGCCCTATAACATGTTTATCAACAACCTATAAATTACTAACGGCAATAATAACAACAAAGATCAACACTCACCTGCAGAATAATAACATCATATCAGAAAGCAGAAAGGATGCTGTCAGGGATCTAGGGGCTGCAAGGAGCAACTGGTGATAGATGCAGAAATACACACTCAAGCCAAATTAAAACGTAAGTCTCTACATTTTGCATACATAGATTATCAGAAAGCTTTCGACACCGTCCCACACTCCTGGCTCATACAAGTTCTACAAATATACAAAATCCACCCTCAAATCATACAACTTCTGCAGAGAATCATGGCAACATGGAAAACTACCCTAAACATCAAAATGAAAAAACAACTCATCCACACAGAACCAATTCAAATTAATAGAGGAATTTTTCAGGGTGACTCCCTCAGTGCACTCTGGTTCTGTATTGCGCTCAACCCCCTATCGAACCTACTCAACAAAACGCCCCAAGATGCTTATAAAATATCCTCACTCACACATCCATCTACCATCTCGCACCAGCTATATATGGATGACCTAAAGCTTTATGCAGCAACCAGAAAACAACTCAACAACCTTCTCAATATTACAGAAACATACAGTGAAGACATCCAAATGAAACTAGGAACAGATAAATGTAAAATAAACAGCATTATAAATGGAAAACACTCGATACAGGAAGAATACATTCTACAAGACTCAAATATCATACAGAATATGGAAATGGATGAGACAACAAATACCTCGGATACCTACAAAAAACAGGATTAGAGCATGCCAACATAAAACAGCAACTAAAAAGCAAATACAAAAACAGAATAAAACAAATACTCAAAACAGAACTGTCCGGTCGAAACAAAGTGAAAGCAATAAATACCTATGCAGCGTCCGTCCTGACGTATTCATTTGGCGTTATAAAATGGAGTGACACAGAATTAGAAGAACTAAACAGGTTAACAAGAACAACATGTAACAAGTACCGAATACACCATATACACGCGGCAACAGAAAGATTTACACTAAAAAGAAAAGAAGGAGGAAGGGGATTCATGGATCTAAAGAACATGAACTACAAGCAAATACACACACTCAGAGAATATTTCAGAGAGAAAGCAGTTACCAGCCACTACACCGAAGCATTGTTAACCTAACAACATCAGGTACACCGTTACAATTCAACAATGAAGCATTCATACCAGTTGATGCAATTACAACAACAAAGACTAAAATTGAAAAATGGAAATCCAAAGCCCTACATGGAAAACATGCAAACCAACTAACACAACCACACATTGACATAGCAGCATCCAATGCATAGCTTACTCATGGTAACCTGTTTGGAGAAACCGAGGGTTTCATAATAGCAATCCAGGACCAGATCATCGCCACACGTAATTACCAGAAATACATAATCAAAGACCCCAAAACACCTACAGACAAATGCAGACTATGTCACACACAAACCGAAACAATAGAACACATAACCGGGGGATGCCCTATACTTGCTTCCAGACAATATACCCAAAGACACGACGATGTTTGCAGAATAATCCATCAGGAAATAGCAAAGAAATATTCACTCATCTGCTACCATACACCATACTACAAATATCAAGCAGCTAACGTTCTAGAAAATAAGACAGCCAAGCTCTACTGGAACCGGGATATAATCACAGACAAAACCACACCACACAACAAACCAGACATCACGCTCATCCACAAAACCAACAAAACGACATACTTAATAGAGATATCCATACCAAATTCACAAAATGTCAAGAAGAAACACACTGAAAAAATTGAAAAATATATACCTCTAGCAGAAGAAATAAGGCAGATGTGGCACCAGGACATTGTAAAAATTATACCAATAATAGTGTCATCAACAGGACTGATCCCAAGATCATTA